CCCCAAAACCCCAAAACCCCAAAACCCCAAAACCCCATACAAGAAAATAATACTTGAATTGTTAAATTTAATTAATAACTTATCAATATGAAGTCACTCCTTAATTTCGAAGAAAATTTACCTGAAGAGATCCTTTCGGAGCATATTCATTGTACAGGGATCAGGAATTCCATACACTCGGAGAGCAGTGTGTCAGATTCACTATTTCAGAGAGGTAAAAGGCACAAGCATTTTGTAGAGGCTGACTCTTTTTCATTCTTGCCGAATCACAAAGTAGACTCTAACAGAGACAATAAGTCAAAAGATACACTTCAAAAATCCAATTCTACCAACAGTTCTGGTTCAAAAATTGATTCTAGAAGAAGTAGTCTTCAGAGTGAGATCAAAGACTTACTTCATAAAGCCATGCGTATCAGAAGCACTTTTTACCATGAATCTGGCAGAGGAGTCTCTTCCTCACAAGTAGTTCAACATCAGGCTAGCTTTAGTTCTGATGAAAGCGACCTTTCTGCACCAAATAATCAAGAACCAAGTGAAAGACTAGTCACGATGAATGATGTCAGTTGTTCAGAATCCTTCTAGAGTATCAAGCTAATAAATAATTTGTATATAACTAACTTGACTTAACGACTTTTGAAATGGAGGAATCACATACAAATTTCCCTTTTGTGAGCGATTCAAGGTTCAAATAAATTCTATTCTTTTGAAATAATAAAACCTAAGATTTTTCAATGATCATGATTCATGGATCAAAATTGTTCTTTGCCAAATGTTAACTTAGTATCTGATTTTTAAATTTCGAAGAATGAGAGGATAAAAGCAATCATTTTAATATTAAAGTTCTCAAACAGTCTCTTCTTGAGTTTAATTTCACAACTAGAGGAGTTTTAGTCAACTTTTTCTCTCAAGAAAAATCAGTAATCAAACTACCTTTTATCAATTTACTTTTAAGATGATAATTTGGGGTTACTGAATATTGATACCTTAGAATATCACCAAGTCCATGGCTATGTACAAATTACATCATTATTTCTCATCATTTTAAGCTAAATTTTCGAGCTCGTGTGAATGTCTTCCAATAAGTTAAACCCTCTAACTTCTTCAATACAAAAAGTCATAATTTTAACGTTATTTTTGCTAACTTGAGCTCAAATTTCCATTAAATCGTGCATAACAAAGAATAGAAGTAGATAATAACTCAAACTTTAATAAAATTCCATAATTACTACATGACAAGTTGGAGAAAAATTAAACTCATCATGAATATGCAATATATTTAAACTTTAAAAACTACTTATCAACGTAATTTACATCCAATGGGGTTTTGGGGTTTTGGGGTTTTGGGGTTTTGGGG